GTGACATGTCTGGGTCAAAAAGTCACTTTAAGAGCAGAGATGAGGATTTATGAAGGGAGCTGAGAGATGAGCTGCTGTAAATTACATTATAGCAAGGGTATAGGTTTGGCATGGGCGGAGGTGACGTGTCCCCACCAATACCAAACCAGCGATGACCAAATAGTCACCACCAATAATCTGACCACCCTCGCTAAAAAAATACAAAAACAAGCCATTCAATGTCTCCTTACACCAGAGGTGCAAAAAGGCTTAAATGACGTTCTCTCCTCGTGTCCTATGGCCAGTGAGACTCACTGTGCTTGCTGTCACGTGAGACAAACTACGCTGGTTGTTATCAGCGCCAAAGCTCGAAGGAAAACGTTCCAATCATATGCAAGACTCCTGTGTTTGCATTGCGACATGACTGACACATGGGGCCAAAAGGGAGCGAGTGTAACCGAGGCTCCTGAGAGGACGACACTAACTGTATAGAAGCTGCACATGATGACGAGAGGATGACAGCCATGAACTTGAGAGGCTCTTTTAATAACTACTGCCTCTTCGCATTACAGCAGTCAAGTTCACCAAAAACCAACCCACACACTTCCAATCGTCACAATAAAAGTGCTGTACACCACATCCTGTCTGACTGTATTCACCAAAATAAGAGTTTCACAAACGTAGTTTACATGAGGATGGAGGCAAAAAAGAAGGTTGAGGACACAAGGAACTATTTTCCAAAGAAATGTGTAAGACACTTAAAGCTAAGTTTGCTAATGTAATGAGTCCATCTTGTAGCGACATGAATGGCCTCATATTTCTGACACAAAGGTCACACTTCCCCAGTTAGGTCGAGCTGGGTCAAGCTGTAACTTTTGTTCCACAGATTATCCGTCACAGGAGCTGTACAGTCTGCTAAACACTGTCTTTTATCTGTCTGCTGTTCCTCCGCAAGATGAAGGACACTTCAAGATTTTAAAATAATAATTTTAATAAACTCTTTTTACTGTTTATTACAAGGTTTATTATAATCATCATAAATAATCATCATGGTTCAGTATAAATGTATTTAATTACTGAAATTATTTATTATTCCTTGGGTAATAATAATAATTATTTATGATAATCAGTAATGTTTGATCAGTAGGTCATTTGCACGTGTACACCTCATGCAGAGGGACTGAATCTAGGGTAAAGTAAACTTGCTCTCACATGTCTTTGCTCCATAACAACAAGCTTTCTGACGCTGAGAGGGCGTGTTCTGAGCTTTTGTTAAAACCAAAAACTCTTCAGTTCAACTTCAGTTCTTGAACCAAGCAGATACTCTCCGTGGTGATGAGGGTTATCCCAGAGGACGAGGGTCGGCCGCCCGAAGCCTCACTAAGCTGTTCTGTCACACCGATAGAATCGCTCCGAATAAACGCACCTGTAACCAGCTGACCACAACTCCTTCAGAGTTATTGATTTTGAGACGCAACTAGTTTCATTAGTCGTTGTGACCCGGAGACATCTCAGGACCGATTTGAGTCGCACCAAGGTCCTTCTACCAACCTCGTGCCCGGAGGAAACCATCTCCACCTGACATCTCGGATCGACCAGAGGGTCTCCTGAACTGGGTGAGGTAGATACTTTCCGACAGATGGCGTCCAATGCTGTTCTCTCTAAGAAACCATTCAGTTAGCTGCAAAACAACTTTTTCACCCAGAACGCGTTTCTTTCTCTGAAAGAAATCTTCTGAGATATCATCCACACATCCAACACACACGTTCCATTTTAGTTTTCCATTCAGACACAGGGTTGCTTTTAATATCAGGTTTTAATATCAAAGCTGTTATAAATTGTCATTTACAAATTGTCATTTCAATTGTCATCTTTTAAAATTGTTAGTAATAAATTCTTAACTTTTTAAACCTGACTCTTCTTTGAAATGAAACACAGAATGGCGTATATTCGGTTATTGAATAGCAAAGAATCTATTAAGTCTTCTGTTTAATAAATAAACTTTTGCTATTTATTTAAATATCTTAAATTAAAAGTTAATCTTTGGATTAAATATAGACCAAGCCCGTTAGTGTATGAACTTCTATCGATTGTATAAATATCCTAGATATTTATGCATGACATAAGTTCATATGCTAATGTGTCTGATCTTTTCTTCAGAATCTATCAAAGCTGATCGCAAACAGCGTTAATTCTAGTATGTAGATTGTCTACGCTGCAATGTTAATAGCGTTATTGGCAGTGCTAGGCTTTAGCGCTCAGCACACAGGTGGTAAATCATGATGAGCTACAGATGATTAACCTGCTGATTTACCTTTCTCTGAGAGAGAAACAGAACTAACTATGTTAATCATGGTCCTCTTACTCTCTGAGTCTAACTTCCATTCCGACTGAGAAATCTGCAGCCTTGTGCAAAGATATTATCAGCCTAACAGTTAACCCTTTAAAGCCGGACACATGAAATAATGATCAGAAAACAGTTTTTTTTAATTTTTTAACATTTTTTACTAATATGATACAAGAATTATTTACTTTTACAGCAATAAAACTAAATACAATTTGTACTTGGCAATGTTGCTTCCACCAGAGGCCAGAAAACATGTTTACAAATGAATAAAGCAGCTTTTTGAGGAAAAAAACAATTCTTATTAAAATTATTAAAAAGAAAGTGAACTTTTAAACTTAGAAATATGTGTGTAGATATGAAACAATTGTTGTTAAAGGGTTAAATTGACATGTTTAATATTATAATGTTGGTCACACACACTAGCTTTACAATAACATTTCACATTACAATTATAAATGCAGAATATCTGTGGGAAATCAATACTTTATTGTTTTATCATGAATCAAAGAGAAAACAACAACACACATTTGGGGGGTATGGGTCCCCACCAATGTCAAGAGTAAATCTACGCCAATGTATTATAGGACCACATTTTCCACATTCATTAATACTAACTGTAGTTGACCAGATCTGTTGTTCAGTTTGCATCTAGAATAGACCAGAATTACAATCATAAAGATTAAAATTTTATGTGATCCTTCAAATAGAAGTCATATTACAATGTTGGGACCTGAGCACCTTTAGAAATGAATACATTATTAGCTCCTAACCTGTGAAATCTCTGTTCCCTGCTTCTGCACATTTGCCCATTTGATCTGAAATCTTCCAGCGCGACGCCCCCCTCTGAGACAAACCAATGTCACTTGAAAGTACCAACAGACTGTGGTATCCCATACTAAACAGGAATGCTCTGCACGGCGATGGCAGCCACATTAATCCACTGTTGATCTACAGAGGGATCAAGCTGTTCAAAAATCAATGTCGCCATGAAAGCTTGATTTCTGGTCTTCATCGTTTCCTGAACGTCCGTGACTTATCCAGCACGATGGGCTTCTGCTTTGTGTTTGTGTGAGATGAACGGATAGAAAACGAATAAACATTTGCATTTTATTTTTGGGCAAGTTCAGCAGAATCAGACCCTGTGGAAGGTAACCACAGTGCAGATCGCATAAACGGTGAATACATTAAAGTCAATGCACTCTACCTCACGTCTCACAATGGATGAATGTTTATGTATAAATCTAAAGAAACTCCCTATGTAAAAAATACACATATAGTCCCATGTAAAAACTACGGATGCACATTGCCGTCATTGAAAAAAGTATAGTAGCAGTATCTCATAATAGAGAACGTTTCTAATATAAAGTGATATACGTTTTGTTTCCTGCACCTTCAGCAGAAGCTTACAGCTGTGCTTTGTCATTAGTTCCAAGTCTAAAAATGTGCCTGTGGCTTCTTTGTGTTGTTTATTATTTTGACTTGCAGTCAGTGTGATTATTGAGGTCACCAAGAAGGTTTAAAATCACCATTCAGTCATTTAAATTACTTTTTTAAACTCAAGGCTAGTTGGTACCATTCACTTACATTTTTTTATGCTAAGCTAAAGCTAAACAAGTACTGCCGGATCAGGAAAATGACTGAATAAATATTTTTTTTCCTACTTCTCTAACTATAGGGAATATAGCAATAGACAAAAGTATACTTCGGGGTGGAATATTTCTTTTAAATGGCATAAAGAGGCTCTCTCGCACTCCATCTTCTCCCTTTGTTTTTTCTCGATGAGATTCAAACATCCCGCAATATGTCAGTGTTTTACCGTCACGAGCCATCCCATTGTTACATATATGAAAGAGACAATGTGTAGATTTTACCATTAACTTTTGGAAATATCCATCAAAATGTTGTTGAAAATGATTGAAATGATGCCCAGTTGTTGAAAAATATTGGTGGCTTTGTAACATATAACCATAAAAAACTGGTCAAAAATACATGGGATCGGGTCTAAGTCTCTGGGCAACTCCATATTTCCTTCTATGGGAGCCCATGAGGACAAAATGCATTTAGTGATTTGTAACAAATGGTTACAAAGCTTTTGTAATTCTTAAATGTTGTTGTTTTACACATTTACCTCTTCACTTGTTGCCACTGATGAAAGGGTCTGATGTGCTTGTCATTTTGCTAAAATTTGCACTCCCCAGGGCTATTTTTACCCTAATGGGCATCCATTGGTAAGGTTTAACTCCAACACAAAGAAACTTCTTGCTTGCAACAATTTAGGTATCTACTGCCCCCTATCGCCAGGAAAAATACACACCGTCACTTTAAACAAAATATTTTGAGAAACATTTAAAAAGTTAAATAAAGTTTTTATGTCAGTATTATGAGAAACCTTCTCATTAAACTAGATTTTTGTCACGTTTTAACAAGAGAATTCTGCTTTTTACAAGACACTGCTCCTATATTTTTCCCAGCACTGATGCTTCTGTAAAAAACACATTAAAATAACATTTGAAATGTTGCTATTTAAAAACATTTTCAATCATATAATAACATACAGATTTTCTTCCGTTTATGAAGATAAAAATTTTCCCCATGTTACAAGTTTTGGCCCCCCCGAACTTCTTTCTAGCTACGCCCCTGCTGCAAATGAGTATTTGAGCTGGAATGGTTGAGGCTCAGTTCCACTCCACGTTTTGCGTCTTTCTCTGCCCTGCCGGTGCATCTGATCCAAACGCAGAGCGCTTCCCATCCACTCTACATTCCTAATGCAGCACAGCGTCCAGAGGAGCTTCTTTTCCTCTCGCTCCCCAGAAGTTGAGTGAAGCTGCTGGAAAACGCGCCGCCTGGCTTCATTCCCCTGGCACCTCCGCGCTCTTCTGTCCTAGCGCAACGGAACTTCTATCAGCTCTTGGCTGCGGGAGATGAGCTGCTAGACCTTCTTATCATTAATAGTTGAGTTCCGGTGGATCAGTCTCTAGAAGTACCTGCGGATCTGCTGACAGCAAGCGGGGCGCTGCAGAGGAACCCAAGGATCTTTACAGAAGTGAACAATGCTCAGACTAGAGACCATCATTTGCACTTTTTCTGTGCTGTCAATTGCAGCGAGGGCAGATTTTAAAGCGCGGAACTGCAGCGAGGTGAGGGAGGCTTGCCTTAGGAAAGGCTTCACCTTCGCACATGTGCCTCAACAGGAGATCCCAGGTAAGACTGGACCTCCAGAGCACGATGCATGTTATAACGCATGGATTTGGTTGTGTTTATTCCTTGAATATAACAAATAATGCAACAAATTCCAAGATATTTAAAGCAGGATTAGAGATGCATCCTGTCACTGCATGTAACCACCTGTAGGCAAAGAGTTGATCCTTAACTTCTAAAAAAAATAAAAAATAACAGCCAAACTAATCAATAACTGCTGTTTGCATCAATAAAACCTCATGTTTGTTATCAGAAATCCCATCATTTAACACATCTGAACAGTTAAAGGGAGGTGATCTGATTACATATCGATACAGTCAGAGGCGGTTGCATAGGTCGGCAGCCCTGGGACCCCCTTATGTTGGGGGCTCCCCTAGCCCTGACTGCTGGCACCCCTCTGTTAATACCACAGTGGACTATTCCTTTAAGATGCCGATGCACAAACAGGAAGTGATTTGTAGTCATAAAACTCCAATCCAGTTGGTGGCAGTAATGCACCAAATTGTTGTTTGCCAAGTGCCATAAGACTACAAATAAGAAGAAGAGAAAGCAGAAAAAGAAGAAGAGAGGCGGGAGCATTCGTAACAAACTCGAAGCAGTAGTCTTAACATTAATCATGAAATGGAGTTATCCTAGTGGCTCCAATAAGAGAAAGAAGCAGCTTGCTTTAAAAAAAGCTTTTATCTTCACTTCCAACAGTGACGTAGTTTTTCTATGTAAACATTAACCCTTTGATGCATAATGGTCACTACAGTGGACAGGTACTCAAAATTGTTATTTATTTATTTTTGTTATTAAGCACAGCTGTTGAAGACTTTATTGCATGTGAGCCCCTCCATTTGAGCTTCAGTAAGTCAAGCCAAAATATTTCATGGTCAGAATGCACACTGTCCACTGAAGTGGACTTGTAATAAATTATTTGTAAATTAACAAAGTGTTACAAAAATATTTGTTGAAATTTGTTTCATTCACACCTAAAGATGAATGAAAAAAATTGTTTAAAAAATCATGGTTGAAGATTTCATAATTCATGCATCAAAGGGTTAAAAGGAAGTAGAAAAGGAAAGACCATGGAAAATGTTTAAAGGGAGGAAAACATGAACCAAAATGGAAAATAGAAGAAAAAAAAAAACAAAGGCAAAAGCACAGGAGCACTGACAGGAAGAAAAAAGCAGAGCAAATATTGAAGGCACTCAAAAGGAGAGAAAGACTGGAAAAAAATGTCTGATAAAAAGTGAAAATAACTTGTGTCAGAAGAGGGGAGAGTTTCGCAAATCCAGTTAAAGATAAGATTGTCAAAAATTTAGTGTAAGGGGGCCCCATGTCTGTGTTCGCCTTGGGCCCCCAAATTGCTAAATCCGCCACTGGATACAGTGATGAAAAATCCTATCAGCTATTCTATCAATATCCTGCAATCTTTTTGCACAGCTGTAGCAGTCAGTAGAGTTTTCAGCGCGTTAACCAAGCAGGGATAATAGGTGGTCAAGTGTGCAGTCACACCTCCTGGCTCTAATAAGATTGGGGCCTTTGTAACTGCAAAGTTAATGGTGTTGTCATTTACTGGATGTCTACACCATTCTTCTTTTAAATGTGTTGAACATTTGTCCATAAATATGTTTAATCCTCAGGAATTAATTTAAATTACAAACCAGTTTTAATGCATCTGAATACTTTTCCTTGTAATAAAATGCATTTCCCCCCACAACACATCTATAGGTCATTACTGCAATGCCGCAGGGTCAACAATCTCTCCTAAAGCAGGAAACCTGGCACATGTAATAGGCTAAGTAGTTGATAGCAGGCACACCTGTTCAGATTGGAGCTGAATAACTAACTGATTAAATCCTTTGCATCTATGTTTCTGACATTACTGCTAATCTCCCAAATGAGTGAAAAATCTCTCCTATGTCTGAGTGATGGCACTCTGAATAAGTGATCAGCTCTTTGAATGAGTCACAACCTTCTGCAGAGACAACGGCGAACCAGCTCAGCACATTTATCCAGCAGTGGGCTTTCACCTCAGGCTGTCGTTGCCTCGCTTTTAAACAATCTGATCCCAAATCAGAACAAAAGTGCTGAAAATAAATAAATAGATTTGAAAATTAGATAAATACCCAAGAACTAGTCTTCTGCTTGTGAAATTAACTTTTGTATTTTCAGTTAATAATGTAAAAACAGCACCCTGAAGGTTCTTCTACACGAGATTTCTCTAAATCGGAGAAAAAAGAACGTGTTGCTTTTTTATTGGAAACTTACTATTCAGGTCTTTTTTTAGACCACACTAGCAGTTATGAGGTCCACCTCAAAAAGTCTGGTCAATGTCCCTCAAATGCATTCAGAGCCATTTTCCTCCTTCGGAATACCAACCAGACACGTTACTCTCGGCAGTAAGAGAAGTTGATACTGTTTATTTTAACTTTGTTTAAAAACGATTTAACTTTTATATCTCTGCCTGTTTTTTGACCAATGTTTCATCTTATATAAATGGACACATTTGTCTTTAATTTCTGTTTTCTTTGTTTCAATTTTCACACAACTTTAATCAATCTGTAACTTTGCTCCATCGTGACCTGGAAGACTCTCTTAGTGGTAAAACAAAGGGTAAAATAATGAAACTGGGCATTTGTCAAATCCAAAACATGATTTCTTAACGTTTTTAATTGGTAAATAACACTTTTGATAGAAAACAGGTGGGTGAAGTGGTGGAATCATAAATAGTTTTATGTATAAGTGTGATTTGCACCTTTAATTGTCACCTTTTTGCAGCAAAAACAACTTTCTAATCACCGGAGCAACCAAATGAGTCAATGTTTTATGTGCTGCTCAGTTTCACGACTATATCTGTAAGATTTTAACCCTCTCAGGCTCAAAATAAGTTTTGATAAAAGGACGAACAACTAAGTCCTTCAGGGGTACTTTTGAGTTTAAAAAATGCTCATGAAATACGTTTGTGGAGTAACCAGGTAGGTTTTAACATTGCACATCTGCAACGCCTGCCTCCAGAGGGTTAAAACGCAGATTTTAGAAGGTTAACAACTTTAACCCATTTTCGTATTCGTGCGTTCATGGTTGACTTCCACATGGTCTCTGGTAGGGTGCTAATGCAGGAGATAGGTCTAGGAGATGAAAAGTGACCGATTATAATCAGGAAAAAAAAACATTTAAAAAATGGTTTATCAGTCAATCACACCTTTATTAGTATTAGAATAGAGAAATGCATGTTCCAGAGTCAAACCTGAGGTGTCCATCTGAGTGGAAACATGAAAAACCTGTTGAAACGTACAAAAAAAGTTACATTTTTTTCCACATAGAGGAGAAAATAAACTTAGGAAATACCTGAGATTATAATGAATGCATGAAAGGGCTAGACAAACAGTTGCCTCCTCGTAATACCACCAGAGAAGACAAAGGCACGCTGAGACGATATCACTGAAAAGCAGAAAACAAAACTATCATGCATCACATTTCCAGTTATTACAGAACCCTTTAATGAATGATTATGTAATAACTGATACAGGAGCACGTCTGGGAGCTTTCAGAGAGGAGCATAGGTGGTGGACGGTGAGAAGATTAAGTGACAACATTACTTCAGAGTTCATATTGCAGCACTCGCAGGTTAGTTGGTCCTTGGGGGGGCTCCGTTAGGACTGGCTCAAAGAGCTCAGTGTTTATGTCAGCCTTACAGCTGCCATCACACTCTATTAAGTCCCTGATGTTAAGGGAGACATTTAAACCCTGTAGTACCGGAGCTTTTATACGAATGAGGCTTTCAGCATAGCCAGAGACGGCTTGTAAACTTTTATTGGATTGTTTCAGATGTTCTTTTGTTGTTGTTGCCTCACAACAAAATCTCATGATACGGTTGTTTTCTTTTAACCATAACTTACTGCAGTTGTTTTAAAGCAGGGGTGGCAAACCTTTCAAGGCAAGGGCCAGAATGCTCAAGTCCTTGCAGGCAACATAAATAAATAAATAAATAAATAAATAAAATACATGATTAAAAATGTATTTGAAATTTGCAAGAATTATTTTATGGTGATTTTTTTTTTGTAATTGTATTTAGTCTAATTAACATAAATGTTAGAAAGTCTTGATCTACATCTACAGCATACTGGTGAGACCAAATTCATTATTCTACAAAGGCAATAGGTGGGTCACATAAACACTCAGAGGGCTGCAAATGGCTCCTGGGCCGCACTGAAGACGCCAGATGTAAAGTGTAACCCAGCAGGTCATGTGACAAGACTGAGACGATACTTTGAGGTTCCTGACCCCACCAGGAAGCTGTCAGCAGCTACTTCCAGATAAGGGAGTGTATCAGCAAGAATCTTGTGATTCTATATATATATATCTCAATACAAGTGATATGATATATTGTGAAAGTAAAAGCTTGAAAAAATTTGCAAATCTTGAAGCTCAACTAAACTTATATTGTTAATACATTTGCAGTGGTTTCTAGGAATGAATGCCTTCTAAGTCATGGGGGGGGGGGGTTGCTTGAGATGACAGGATTTTGAGTCTTATTTCCTGATATTTGGACATCTCGCTTCTGACTAGGGCCCGACCGATATGCTTTTTTTTGGGACCGATACCGATATAAAACTATTAACAAAGGCCGATATAATGGCCGATAAATCTCCCTCACAAAAAATAAATAAATGCAAATGATCTTAAGATTAAACCCTTCATTCTCTGCCTTTTTGATGCTAACTTATTTCTATATTACACACCAAAGAACTGTCTCATTAACTCACTAGGGTTTCCAAGTAATGCAAATAAGATTTATTTTGCGATCTCAAAAACAACAGAACACACAAACTACTACTGAAGATGAGCAGATGCTGCAGATGACATCACTGGATGGATCTTTAGTGAAGTAGGCCCACACCTTACTACGACCCTCTTTTTCCATCTGTAATAAAATAATCAGCATAAAAGTACAATTATATATCTGTTGAAACCAAGACAAAGTAAAATACATTAAATGTGGCATTTTTATACTT